GAAAATTCTGGTCAAGTGTTTGTTATTGACCAGGGGGTGTGGTGGCACGCCTAGGTGCGGATCCAGTCGCGCCATTCACTTGCATCCTCCCCCGCCTCCGGTCTTCTTGACTCTGTCATGACACCGGGTCTAGTTGCGAAAGAAGGAAAAGATGCGTAGATTCTGAGCAAGTCCGCCATCACTATAAACTAATTCACGCGCAAGTCAACGTGCCTGCTGCCCCTTGCTGTGTGACACACGGTGGACATCGTCGGAATCGACGGTCGAACTGTCGGATGATGGAAGGTGTTGGTGAGAAAGAGAAGGTTGTGTTCTTCGCAGGTATGTAGAAGAAGAATGTCGTTGTTGTTGCTGGCGCCGATTCCGTTAGGACCCAGCACTCCCTCCCCGGTAGCATGATCTGTCCCAGGGCGGACGTTGAAGTCACGGACAGTCAACTTGTCCGTCTTCGGCACAGTCACCAAGAGGGCATGCAGGTCCTCGTCCCGTCGGAGCCGCTCACTGGGGAAGGAGAGTGTAGACTCTTAGAGGCATGTGTAGGGTCATAAGACGGTCGTTGATGTCCTAGAGCAGGCTGCCAAAGTTAATAGAGTTACTCCAACAGTTTACTCCAGCCAATTAGACCATGCCCTTGACCTGTTAGCATGTGGACTTGTCCGCTGACTCATCTGAAGGGTTGGGCGTCCCCTGCCAATGGCCGGTGCGATCTCAACACGCTCACGCCGTTCGGGCGGGCGGGCCGTTAGCACGGTATGTTGGCACTTCGTTAGAGCGGCATGTGAATGAGTCGGTTAGGACGGCCTCTCCTAACACGAGGAGCCATAGATGAGAGTCAGGTTCCACTTAAGTGTCGAATGGAGCTGCCACCACTTACACGAAGCGCATGGAGCGAGCTGCCAACCCCACACGGTATGCCTCCTTACACATATGAGCATGAAATGTGTGCCGAAACTGTCAAAATAGTGACGGAAATGTCCACATATTTTTCCAAACATTAAAATATTCGAGTGCCTCACGATACTACTGAGTAGCGCACTTCGACGAAAGCCAATTCAAACACTGCGGCTTACTGCCCTCACAAGGAAATTCCTCTTAAGTAGATTAACCCCTGTTCGTCTAAGTGCGTAATTCCTTCGGTAGAACACGAGAACAAGGACTCTCCGTAATACAGGTGGTCTTACGCCAAATTCCAGGGCGATTAGGGCTACGGTTAGGGCAGAGTTGTGGTTAAGGTTAGGATTTTGCCCCTAAAACGGGCCACAAAATAGGTGCGATTGACCAACACAGAGGCTAGATTGGAGTTCAGCAGGCGTTATCGGAAATCCAACTGCGTTCTGTGTCGGAAGCGAGCGAAGGTGGTGCATACATACTCTCATCCC